TAATGGAAGAATAGAATTAAGACGTAAATACTTTGGTGAGACGATTATCGACAGATCTGCTGATTAATTAGTTTTTTTGGTTTGACGAAGTTAAATATTATCTTACTTCATCTCAGGCCCTCGATCACGATATTTGCATATACTAAAAATCGAAAGTAAACAAAAATCAATTTTATTGTTTTTAAGCAAAGCAAGTTCAAACAAATTTCATGAAAACAGCCAATCAATCAGCATCGGCGCCGAAGCCACGGAAATGCAAACTTTACTTCAGCTCGATGAGAACTAATTTCAGATCTCTAAATTGATCGGCTATCTATCAAAAATATCCAGTCTCTTCAAAGTAAACAGTTAAGTTTAAACAGAATGTATAAAATCTCGCGATCTTCTGAACCGATGTTCGTGAAATTTTACACAGGTCTTTGGAATACAATTCTTAAAGACTTGGAAAAAGGATTTTTTTTTGATTATAAGTATTTAAAAAAATTTTTCGCGAAATTTTAACTCAAATTTTCATTTTTTTCCCAAAAATGTCTACCAAATATCCAATTTTCACTTTTTTTCTTCGTCTAAGTTGTATGTTTAACTAAAACACTTTAGATGCTCCTGTAAGGAGTTATCCTGCCAATTGGGGCGCATCCTTTTTCCGAGAGGTCTCCAGAAATGGTGTCGCAATGGCAGAGTTTAAAATATTTTGTGTATAGTGTTTGTAGCAATAACAAATTCTAATAAAATATTTCTTTTATTATACCATATCTGTTTTTTACACCAGGAAACCCGTGTAAGACCTTCATAGGGACTAAAGTGTAGTAGCTTGACAGAAAAGATTTTTTGCAGCAACAGTTGAGAAGTTAGGTTATACTGACTGGTTGTCACGCCATCTATAGACCCACGGGTTCTTTGTAATGTCAGATGGAGGTTCAACTAAGTTGAGATAAAGTATTCGTCATAAAGGACGTCAACGGTTTTTGCGAACTATAAGAGCGATTTGATAACTAATTTTACTAATTCGTTTAGTCTCCTGAACTGCGAAGCTTCTAGATATTTAAGACGAAGCATATTAGGTGATCTAGCGTTAACTACCTTTCAGCATCTATCGTCATTACTTGCATCTATAGTGAATGCAGTCCTTTAGAGTAAGTAAAAAGCATGCGTTTTTTTCTTCGTGACTCTTACAAATGATATTGGCGATCCTGCATGTCTTTACTGCGTTCCCACACGCCCTGAATCATTTGTCAACTCTTTCAGAAGTTTGATTATATAATTTTAACTGATAGCCGTATTTCCTATACTGATTCGGTAGACAGACGTTATACACTTATCTCAACAGTTATTTCATTTTCCGAAACTCTTTTCAGCCTGGAACTCAGTATATATTCAGCCGCCATGTCTACTGCCTCCCTGCTTCTACGAACATTCTTTCAATTGTCGAATATCTTAGGTGAAATGTCTTGCATATGTTACAAGAAGCTGAGATTCCAATAGATTTTCTGAAACCAGCAGAAAAACAAAACTATTATGCCTAAGGATTAGAATAAAATCGGACCATTACTGCCGAGTTAATGGGATACCAAATCAATTTCGAGAATTCCCCAGGGTTTATCAAAGCAACCTCAAACACTAAATCAATTATTGAGGAGAACAATCGTAAATTGTTCCTGTAGGGCTGCAATGGATGCAATAATTTACACCGCTGACGCCTGGAGTTAATGAAGAACGCTTACACGCTTGTGCTGTCAGATTTTTACGGTGTTTATTAGAAAACAATGAAATGGTGCAAATATAAGCAACAGGTTTTTGTCCACAAATAAGTTGAGTATATTTAGATGCTAGTGCACACGTGTGTGTGTGTGTGTAGGTGTGTGAGCAAATTTGTTCGCGTTCGCATATATTTGCGCGTGAGGAAAACAAATGAATTCATTGCTTGCGCTTTTCCATATGGACGACGGCGTGAGCACACACACACACATCCATACACAGGTGAATATGAACATGCGATAGTGCGAGCGTCCAAGCACAACCCTATCAGTGCCTAATTTACACCGTAATACAACAACAACAACTGAATTAAACAGATACAACGGATTGTATTTGTGTGAGCGTTAGATATGTCTTCATTAGATCGGTTGAAAGCCACAAAGCCATATGCTTATAAGTACATATATATGTATAGATGTATAGTTATGTGTGCGTGTGTGTGTTGAAAGCCTTGGCTCAAATACAAAGAGCTATAAAATTAAATAAACGAAGCCAAAATTAACATGCGCGCAACAACAACAACAACAACAAGTATAACAACAGCTATGATAACTAGGTGTCTTCTGAAGTCGTAATTTCAAATATCATATGGTCCTAGCAGCATAGCAGCGCCGCCATCACCACACACCGCCGCACACCCATGCACCGAGTTGCAGGCGTTTTAAATCTCAGACAACCTGCGCATTTAGCTTAACCGCTCGAAGTATGGGTTGCAGGTTAGAATTCAAAACGCTATCGCACTGGCTGTTTGGAAATCAGTTAACGCCTTGCCGTCGACTCGTCGAGTTGTGCAGTTCCACACCGTTTGGAGCAGCTTGTGTCCGCGTAGTGAATTGTATTTTGTATTGTGCTCAAGTGTGCTTCTTGATCAGTGAATTTTGGTTTCCATTAACATTGCGGTTTAATTGTAAACAGGAAAACACTCGATTTTCGCCTTGAAATGTTACCAACCCCCGGTATTGTGAATAGCAGCTTGTTTCTATGCTTTTTGTTACTGTATTTCGTGCAAGTGGACTCCATACATACCGAAGAGGGTTTGGAGCTCTTATTTCGGGAAAGGTAAGGTTTTTAAGGAAATCAATATATTATATTTTTGAAATTGGTTTCTCAGTGGAATATTATTTAAGCACTGCTTGCTCGGTTTATTAACAAAATAGTGATCTGGGATCAACAGTTTTAGTATCACGAGAGAATGCTTGAGTTTTCATGCTTTTAATTATTAAGGGCTATCTTTTTAACAAAATTTCCACTTTACTGACTTCTTAAGAAATAAGGACGGCAAAAAACTGCTCGATTCTCATAAACTTCTCTTGAGATGAATTTTTCACTAGCAAAATACTTCGGTATACAGAAATATAAATTATAAGGGGAATGCATAAGAAACTGGTATTGTCGTAATGGAACACAATTCCTCTCCATTTTGACAAAACTGACCAATTCTAGACGAATTCTTCAATCAGACGACTCAATTGTTGATAAAACAAGAACGTATTAGGAATTAGGTCGTAAAATAGCAGCTCTTAGTAGATGATTACCTATCAATTCTGGCTTTGCAATCATTTGCGACGGCTCACCGCGACTCGACGACAACAGGTTTTGCTTAAGGTTGTCCTTAATGACGCAATAAAATACCGCTTCAGAAATTGATCTATATTTATACGATTCAACAGCAGTTTGCATATTGCAATTTGGTCCATGAGGTTTTTTGCGTTAACTCGAACTTCCTTTGATATCCAGGCTTATTGAAATGGTACCCAACTTGTTTTTAGTGTCATCTTTAGCTAGGTAATGGATGCTGGGCATACATAACGTTCGTACTCAACAGTTGCCAATATTTTATCAATATTGTCTTTCCACAACGTGGTTCATCTTTAACAACAGAATTACCGGAACTTCAAATTTAATTGGTAATGTTTATTGTCATTTGAAAGAACATTTTTTGGCGTGAAATTATCTGATCCCCCAAGTGTTTTCTCAATAAATCCATTGATTCATGCGATGTGTGGGAAGTGGCGCCGTTTTGCTAAAACCAAATGTCGCCGAGGCCACGAACTTCTATTTCAGGCATCAAATATTCGTTTATCCTGGCACGATAACGGTCACTTTGACGATGCGTTCTCACCGACATCATTTTTGAGAAAATATGGACCGATTGAATAAAATGATGATGATTCTGGATGAAATGGCAGCTTTAGAATTTTTTCAGGTTGTCCTTTGTCCCAAATGCGGCAATTTTACTTATTTACATAAACGTATAGCCACAAATGGGTCTCACCATTCGAGTATCTTCCAATCATAACTGTTGGATCTCAAGATGAGTGATGGTGTTGCGAATAGTATGCTTAGAAGGCCGATTATGTTGACCATAAGTTGACTCTAAACACATTCCTTACATAATGTGAATTATCGTAATTAAGTTAACAATTTGTAAACGTTGATCAGGCATAATATGAAATAAAATGAAACGCCAAGCAATACTGAACAAAAATAACACAAAGTACCTTTGGCAAAAACTCTTTTTATTAGACCAAATATCAAGAATGCGGTCTCTGTTCACATTTTCCAATTTCAGAATTTCAGTAATAAAAAATGTAGAAACCAATACAGACTTTGTCAATTTTTTAAGAAATAATCTACAAGGTGCATTCCAAAGTAAACAGCAATCTGAATCTAGCGCCACCTGGTGGCGCCATCTATTGTTGACTGGTGCGTTAGAATCTGAAATTTTTATCGATAACTAAACATGGATTTATTGCATTTTGCAGCGTTTGGTGAGCCGTATTCGACGGAAAAATGCATTTGCTCATGAAAGGAAAGCATTATGCAGACATAGAGGCCATTCAAAAGGCTTGCACCGACAAACTGGCGGCTATACCGGCCAACGAGCTAAAACACTCGTTCGACATGCTTTTGGACCAAGCAAAAAGCTGTATTGAAGCAGAAGGAGACTATTTTGAATAAAATAAATTGATTTTGCCGAAAAAACCATTTGTTCTGTTTTTTTTTAAGCCCTGTTGACTTTGGAACGCACCTTGTATGTAATGATGATGTAAATTTGTTGTTAAAAATACCGTAGCATATTGGATTGTAAAACTGAAAATCAAATTAAAAATTTTCGTTTTTCGATAAGCGTTTAAATTAGCCTCCGAAAATAATTCTTACAAAACCCAACAGGCATTCGCTGGCGATTTGAAAATTCTCAGAAAAATAGCAACAAATTAATTTTTTTCTTCTGATTATTATAGATCACAATCGGATTGGGAAAATGTCTGGCATCAGGAGACACATTCACGCTGTCGCGACAAATTGATACGTCAACTGTTCTGGGCCTGTGAGAAGGATATTTATCGTCTGACACGACGCAATCGCAAACGAACGGACAATGAAGCAATGCATAAAAGAAGCAAACGTGAGTAGAGGTCCACTGTTTTTAACACTATTATTCTATTCATAAATATTATGTAGAATAAAATATACGAAATCCTAACACTTTCTAGCCATCGCACGTACCTGGCTGAAAATGGATTATGTCAACACGCTGTTGCGCACACGACGCGCCGATGCACCCTCAATTACGAATGAGTGTTGCACTAAGGTCGGCTGCACCTGGGAGGAATATGCCGAGTATTGTCCCTCGAACAAGCGTCGCAATCATTACTGAGATGAGGAGGAAACCAAAGCGCGTGGCAAAGTGGATTAATGAATAAGGAATAATGAGACTTAAGATATGCAACATCAGGATGAATAGGTTCAACCCGGATAATGAAAGTGAGCATAGTGTATTTGGTTAAAACATGTTATTTTCATATATACGGCAGCTGTTATATAAGATATACAAATATTATGTGCGATTGATTAGAAAAAAGTTGTTGTAAAAATAACATAAAATCTTAACGAAATGCTTGTAAAATATTATAGATAACTACTCATAGTTACCTGTATGTATGTATAAAAACGCATTGTATAAATGTATGTATGTATAATGAATTGTTGTGTTTGCATCAAATAAAAAGTGTATATATTTTGTTTTCAAATCGAAGGTGAAGAAATGTGGTAACAATAAGGGGGTATGTCGCAATAAGACGAAAAATTAAAAGAGATGACCCGAAAAGCCCACGAACAAAATGTTTATTCTTATTTGTCATAATGTGCTGCAGCAGGGAAGTAGATAGAAAATCAGGACCCGAGTAAATTGTAGGAGGTGGGCCCTCAAAGCTTGTTGGAGAAAAAACTCGCCAAAAAGTTTTACAAAGAAAACTCCGGGCTCGGAAAGGACCATCCCTGATCGTACTAAAAAAACTTTTCACACAGTTTTGTGATTGCATGACTCAGTATTGCTTTAGAACGCATCAAAGATAGACACCAGCAAATAGCTATATTTTACAGTCAGACAATGGGAAACCACATATATCGGTATTGAATACTCAGAAGGGCGAGAGCTTGGTTGGGAAGTTTTTATGCATTCGGCGACTTCGTCCATCAAACAGTCCAATAACGCTGTGTAATATCGTTGTTGATGGTCCTTCCTTTTTCAAGATAGTCATTAATATATTCAATGCGCATCCCAAAATACAGACGCCATAACCTTGCCATCCGACTTTTGCATTAATTTACTCAAAATGATATAACTCACAAATTTGAAAATTAAGACTAACTAAAAAAAACATATGGATTTAATTATAGTAGTGCCATATAAGTGTCAGGCCGAAGATTTTTCATTTGATTTGTGTATGGCGAATGATTTTACTAGTGAAAAATTTGCCAGAAGAGAAGCTTGCGAAAATTTATTATTTTTCCAGTTTTTGGCCAATGAGAACGAGAAATTATACTAGGAAAATACCTTCATTACCGTTTCAATTCATTCAGCTCCAACACCCACATTTTTATACCTTTAGGACTTTAGACCATTGCTGCTTAACTTTGTAAGTCTTGCACTTCCTTCAAAGTGTATGGATATTCTGTTTATTGTATATTTTTGCTTAACTCGATAAATTCTATTTATGCGGGATATGTATTATTCTGATATGGGGACGTCATACCAAAAACCGATAATCAGAAAATAGATTCAGAGATTCACAATAAAATATAATAGGTATAAATTATCAGCGTGATGACGATCAGAGCCGATTTAATCAGATTCTGTGCATCAGAGATTTGTATATCCTGATTTAAGTTTGAGCTGAAGAGGAAAGCGCGACGCATTTGCAGACAAAAAAAGAGAGAGGCCGAAATGCGTGAGTATGAAGAGCTTGACAAGTTGGCCGACAGGGGTAATGCGCGAAAATTCTATGAAAAAATGCGCCGACTAACAAAAGGATTCAAGGCCGTAGCATACTTTTGTAGAACCCAAGCAGGCGATGTAGTAATCGATGCCCAGAGCATACTAAAATTATGGAGGGAACACTTCTCCATCCTGCTGAGTGGCAGTGAATGTATAACGACAGGAGAAGTCGAGCCGATTCCCCAATCGATGACGATGGAGCAGACGTTCCATTGCCCGACCAGGAAGAAGTTCGAATAGCAATTACCCGCCTGAAGAACAACAAAGCGGCGGGGGCCGNCTGGATGGCAGTGCACGCACAACGTCAGGAGAAGGCGCACCCGATTCCCCAATCGATGACGATGTAGCAGACGTCTCATTGCCCCACCAGGAAGAAGTTCGAATAGCAATTACCCGCCTGAAGAACAACAAAGCGGCGGGGGCCGATGGATTGCCGGCCGAGCTATTCAAACTCGGCGGCGAAGAACTGATGCATCAGCTTCTTTGTAAAATATGATCGAACGAAAGCATGCCCAACGATTGGAATTTAAGTTTGCTCTGCCCAATCCATAAAAAAGGAGACCCCACAAGCTGCGCCAACTACCGTAGGATAAGCCTCTTCAACATCGCATATAAGGTTCTGTCGAGCAAATATTAAAGCCAGATATTCACCATGCGCCAAATCTTGGAAAAGAGTGAAAGGAGAATCGACACACACCACCCCTTCTACGATTTCAAAGCTGCTTTCGACAGCACGAAAAGGAGCTGCCTTTATGACGCGATGTCAGAATTTGATATCCCCGCAAAACTAATATGGCTGTGTAAACTGACGTTGAGCAGCACTAAAAGCTCGGGAAGGACCTCTCTGAGAAGCTCGATACCAAACGAGGTTTAAAGCAAGTCGATTCCCTATCGTGCGGCTTCTTCAAACTGCTGGAGAAAATTATTCTTCTAGCCGCAGAACTTAATCGAGCAGGTACAATCTTTTATAAGTGTGTATGGCTGCTGGCGTACGCCGATGATATTGATATCATTGAACTCAACGCCCACGCCGCTAGTTCAGCTTTCTCCAGACTTTTGACGAAAAAAAGACCAAACTCTACAAGTATCTTATCATCCCCGTCCTGCTAGAACGTCCGAATAGAGTAAAACACTGCAGCTCTGAGAGTATTCGACGCAGTACCCGCAAGAGGAAGCAGAGAAAGAGGAAGACTTCCACTCCGTTGAAAACACCAAGTGGAGAATGACCTGGTAGAAGAAGGAAGGAAGAACGACTGGCGCGCTGTTGAAAACCGGGCTATAAACGCGTAAGCGGTTCAAGATAGAAATCTTTTATCTATAACCTTTTATGTTATAAGAAATACATTTGTAAAGCTATAATACTTCAGTGCAGGGTAAGTTAATAAGTTTTTTGGTTGTTATAAAATTAAGCTCCCATTTTCTGTGATTGTTGTAATGGGAAAACTATCTATGAAAAAGGTATTTCATTTTGAAATCAGTTCTTTGGAGAAATGTTCGTTGTGTCGAGGTTGTCAAGGCAAATGATAAAGGTTTGAAATTTCTGCAGTAAACAATGAATAGAAAATGGACGATGGAAAAATTGTACAAAATTCTCTGGATTTATGCTTAAAGATTTTATTGAAAATAATACAAACAGCAATTAATGAATAAAAGGATAAAAATCCACTTATCTTAAAAAATTAAATTCTCCCTTGAGGAAAATATTTGACATCTTATACTATCTATACTCAATTATGAACTGTGTACACTGCAGCTTCCGATTAGCAAAGTCCGATTTATAACGATTAAAAATAAATACACAGCGCTCATCACTAGCACTTATCTTACGCCGCTAAGTCACGCCTCAATATATCAAGCTTGGGCCAACGCCATCACATTATAATTATAATATACATATATACATATAAATATACATACATGCATGTATTTATACGCACGCTTTGGTGATAAGCCCATGGCGTTCAACAAATGAATAGCCCCTCCGACCGATTGAATGGACGCACTATTAAATCAGTTGCGAAAATCTGCTCTCCCCGAGCGGAACTGTGCGTGCGTGCGGCGGTAAAAGGAAGTGTGTTAATAATTTTCAATATTATGACGTCACTTTGGCTTTGTCTGATTATTTGCTTGGCGCTAGCGTGGGAGACGCGGCAAGCGCCAGCAAATCCAAATATACAAGATTCAATAACTGCAACAACAACAACAACAACGAAGAATGCAGAAATTACTCAAGAAGCGGATGCGCGCGAAAAACGGAACATTGAAGTGCCGCCACCGGAAATTGTATGCAAAACAGGCACAAAACAACAACAAAAACAAAACAAATTATATTGTCAACTATAATTATTCTGATTTTAGTTGCGCTTTATGCGGCGCTTTGGCTACTTGGAAACCAATCCAAGCGATTCGGAGTCACTTTATCATGAGTCGGCGATTGTCGAAGCCATAAAGAATGTACAAAAATATGGAGCGCTCAACCAGACGGGCGAGCTGGACAATCAAACATTGGAGGTAGTCTAAAAATAAGACCTCATAAGCATTCACGCAAACATAAAACATGCAATTAGTGCTGATAATGATAAGCGTGTGTAACACATTGAACTTAACGACACATAAAGCTCTTGAACCCGCATCAACAATCTGTTAATTTTAGTTTTTATTTACTTTTAAGCTCTTCAACAAGCCACGCTGTGGCGTCCCTGACATTGAAGGCACTCCGTATTATCTCACAAGCAGCACACAGCGCGCATATGTGCAAAACATCAGGGACAGAAGGAGTGAGTCACGGGCAGGAAGTGATTTTAGAGTACGAGGCAAACGTTTTGTGGTGGGTGCGCGTACCTGGAAAAAACGGCGTATACGCTACTTGTAAGTATGTCTAATATCTGTGGTAGTGGTATTTGTGTAACCGTAGAAAGCAATATAGGAGGTGCGTACAATTCAAAATAGTGAAGTGTTACTAAACCACATTGGATTATATCCCAACTAAAATCAGAGCTATGATTTCAGGAATGTTATATGTAGGAGAGAACGTCGTTCGGAAGACAGAGGCTGTCTTCATCTTTTTTTTTCTATCCTTATTCAGAATAGTGACAGTAAGAACTTTTCGAAAATCACTTCAAATTCCGCTGAACAAGATATATTAAACGAAATTTGTGGCATGCAGAAGGAAATGTCGGAGAATTTTATATTCGAGCGGGAATTTTTCATACTTTTTTGTCTCTAAGAAACTGCTCATTTGTCGAAAACGCCGATATCGGACCACTATACGACATAGCTGACATACAAACCGATCGATCAAAATCAAGTCCTTGTATGGAAAACGTTTTTATTTGTTGAGATTTATCCCGAGGAATATTTTCAGAATGGGCCACTATAGCATAGAGCTTGTCATTTATTTTTATACTCTTGCAACATTATAGCTACAGAGCATAATAGCTTTGATCACCCAACGGTTGTTTCAATCACATCAAACTAATCGAAATAGACATAGGTCTATACAGGGTTTTTCCAGAAGGTAATAGGACTGATTTTCTTCCACCG